AGTTTCTTTAACAATGTCATTACAATGACATTTGCACTCGTTCCATTTGCAAGTAACAATGGTATGACATTGCTAATAACAGTGTCATTGACATTTGCATTGCAAATGACATTGCTCTGAACGGAGAATGACATTGACCTGCATGCCCAATGACATTTACAATAGCATGTCATTGCTAATGGGTTAATAATGGAAAATGACAACACATAATGACATAAAGGTGATAACATTGTCAAAAAAATGAATGTATTAGAAAATTTATTTCTGTAAGGAATATTGATTTGTTAATCTAATGACATTTGAAACATTTCAGTTTGAGTTCCAGCCTGTTGTTCCAACAACAATAGAGCTTAAAGATGCTGTTATAGCAAATCTGTGGAGCAGCACGAATGAAAGATATGAATGTTATATGAATGCAGTTGTGGAGAAGGTGATTTATGAAAATGACAATGATGGCAATGTGAAGCCTGAAATGCTTAAGCGAAGATCACAGAGAGTACCAACAAAATCCAAAAAGCCTATTTTGAAGAAAGGCAAAAGAAAAGCAACAAGAAGCAAGAAAGATAAAGAGCAGTCAGAATCTGAGAGTGAAAGCAACTCTGAAGATGTTCAGGTTTCATATTTCCATGACAGTATAATTGGGAAAATGAATGTGCAGCAAAAGAAGATAGATAAAATGATGAAATAGTTTGAGGGTATCAATGATACCGTAAAGAAACATGATAAGATGTTTGAATAGATATTGAATTTGTTGCTGAAGAAAGGATATGAGGTGAAAGACACTGGCAAAAGAGTGAACGGGAAGAGGATAGTCCAAGAAGTTGTACTTGATTCAAATACAGATTCAGATGATGACACTACAGAGGATGAGGTTTATGCGTCTGAAGATGATGAATCTGATCAAGCAAAGAAGAGAGTCAAAACAGTTAATGCTGAAGAAGAAGCCATTGGATCTAAACATTCAGAGGATTCTGAGGAGAATGAATCTCGTGAAGAAGACAATGCAGAAGAGTCTGAAGAAGAAGAAGATTCTAAGGGAGAAGATGATGAAGATGAGGGTGAAGAAGAGGATGATAACAATGAGAAGAGTAAGGAAGATGATGATAATGAAGACAGTGCTAATGAATCAAATGAAAGTGCTGGTAATACTGAATAAGATTCTGAGAAGGAGAAGGATGAAACTTTGGTTACGGAAGGGGAACAAAATGAAGAGAAGGGGAAACAAGAAGGAACTGCTTAGGAAGAACAAAATGCTGAAATTGTTTTTGAAAAAGAAAATGCTAAAGGCCAGAGTCTCCAAAGTTGTGATATACCAAGTTTTGAACTGCACTTGACTCCGACCCCACCTGAGAAGCAAATGTCAGAGAATGACATTGTAATCACTCCATTGTTGGGGGAAACTCAGTTTGAAGTTGAAGATCTATTGAAGGTTGATCAATTAGTGGATGAAATCATCAACAACAAGGTAATGACACAAATAATTGAAAAGATTTCTTATAGAATAACTATTTCATAACATGATTGCTTATTTGTAATTTTGATTGCAGGGAAAGGTTAGTCATACTTCTGGAGAAGAAAAGGAAAGCAGAAGTAACACTGAAAGAGCAATAGTGGTAAACTGTATATGATAATATAAAATTCAGAAAAATGTCATAAAAATGTTATTGCATGACATACAATGCATGTACAATGACATTTTAAAATGACATTGCAAATATTATACCATTTATAATGACATTTTAAAATGACATTGCAAATGTTACCATTGGCAATGACATTTGAAATTGACATTTTAAAGGTTATAGCATTGGCAATGACATTTCAAACGGTACAACATTGGAAATGGAATTTACACTAGCATTGCCATTGTTAATGACATTAGAAACTAAATTTGTAATGAATTTGGAAATGCAGATTTATTCAGAAAAAATACTTGTTCAGGAGACACTGGCAAAGTTTAAAAGGCCAAAAAGGAATGCTACTCAACCTGACAAGTTTACTTCTACAGAAACTGTGCAACAAAGAAAGAAACGAAAGGTGGAGAGGCTAGAAAAGAAAATGTTGAAATTGAGAATGCTTCCAAGAAAGTCATTATACGGGCCATTCCCTCTTGACCCGTTTCAGATGCCACCTACTGCTGAATTGGAGAAAGCAAAGGTTTATTTGAATCTTGGTTTGCTGAAAAGAAGGAAGAAATTTGAGGATGCTAGGAAGTACAAAATGGATTTTGACAATCTGGAGAAATTCCCGTTTATGCTTGATGACTTTGAGATAAAGTCAAAAACATGGCTATATGAACTGTTTTTCAATCCAGAATGGCTCACTGATTCTGTAAGTAGTGCTTTAGTATATTAAATTACACAAATTGGTCCTCTTTATATTTTGATTAAATAACTCTATAAATTGCAGCATATGGAAGTGTGCATGTACTACTTATTCTTGTATATAGCATCCAATGCTATAGTAGTAGGATCACAGTGTGTATAAACCTTAATATTCTTATGAACACTAGTACCAAAACAGTTGTCATTCATTTCAAAAAAATGTGGCAAAATAGAATCAACTACAGAAGAAGAAGGGAGACTGCTGGAATCAAAAGATATGCTATTAAAAGAATCAACTGTAGAAGAAGAGGGAAGACTGCCGGAATCAAAAGAGGGAAGTTCATTTGCAATGAACTCAACACAAATTGGGAATTGTGAAAAATCTGGATGTATGGATTTTATTTGTAGATAGAAAGAAAGGCTTATATCATCATCTATAAAAACAGGTGGAGGACATGATTGAACAAGATAAGATATTCTAAAATCTTTTTGGCCACCTCCCTTGAAAATGTAATCTTTCAATTTCTCACAGAAATCAGTGTAAGACAATCTAAACAAAACAGAAAAACCAACAGTGTGTATTACAAAACACATTGTAAGAATTCCATTTGCCATCAACTTTAACCATTAAAAGAATACTAGTATCCATGTATGTGACACCTGAAAATATAACAATGACATCACTTTCAGAACAATGACATAAAAAATAACCAATGTCACAACACAGAACATCAAGTATTCAAAGTATGAACTATATTTTATATTTTTTAAACAATGTTACAACACAGAACATAAACAATGTCAGCAATGACCTATATTTTGTAAACAATGTCACAATACAGAACATCAAGTGAAACGTATATACTGACTCACGTAAATACAATCAAAAATATCAAAATATAACCAAAACAGAATGAAAACGTTTTTTTTTACCCCAGGGGGCGTCAGGGGGAGGGGGATTTGGGGGGCCTAGGGTAAACTGGGTTCAATCTCACTCCATTGAGAATTGAACCCGAGACCTCCCGTAAGAGAGAGTGAGTCGGCAACCAGCTGGGCTGGACCGCTTACTATAATACACTGATCATACAATTTAAGAACGTAAAAATTAAATACATTCACCTAGCATCAAAGACGATTATCGAACTCCTCAAACGATGATTGTCGAAAATTGGATGTATCGAACCAAAAAACCTCGATTTCCGCACAGGACTGATAAAAATCGATGCAGGTGAAAATCTATAGCAATTAGACGTTGATCGATTCATGTGAAAATCGAAGATAGAAGATGATGCAGAGATGAAACAGAATTCTGGTGAAGGTGAACATAGCTGAATACGATGTAATAGGCCGAAGCTGAAGGTGAAGGTGAAGGAAAGATGTAATCGGAAAACTAAGGACTCGACGAACTAAGGATGAAGGAGAAGGAAGAAAATAACGGGAAACCGTAGGCAAGGCGTGAGTCTAATTAAGGAAAAGGGGCAATTATGGAAACAACGGAAAATTAATTCCTATTTAGGAGTAAAAAAAGTGCAGGTCCTATTTAAATACATAGGGAAAGTTATGGTCCTATTTAGCACCATTTCCCTATATTCAATTGCATGGCTGTACAGAATCAATGGAATATAGAATTCCTATTATTTGACCGGCTCGCTTTATTTTCTTCCCATTTTTATAATTCATAATTAGTTAATCCAACAACTTGAGAGCTTTTTGAGGTGAGTTGTATACTATCCTCCGTTTTTTTAATCGCAACATGTTGAATTTTACACTATTCACATGTTCTACTTTGACTACATTTTACGGTATTATTTTACGAAAATTATTTTTTTTTAAAAAAATATTGTTCAATTCATCTCATTACAAACTTTCAAAATCTGATTTTTAATTATTTTTTACTAATAGAGATTAAGATATAATTTCGGTCAAAGACATGCGTTGGCAAGTGTGTGAAATGTTGACCGTTGCAACTAAAAAAGAAAGGAGGAAGTATAACTTAACTAGATTCAGGTTCGAATACAAATCAAGTTTGAATGAATTCAAATTAGATAGAAGTAAAATCTAATCCATCTGGAATATCATACGCAGTATTAATTAGAGGCAGTTTGGCAACACAGTTTTTCAACTTATCAGGCTTATTAGTCAATTTTTCACCTAACACATAACGTTTACTTTCGCGTGCTGAATTGTGTAATAAGCAGAAAAAGTAAGTTTGGAGTTACTTTTCTGGATGTATTGGCTGAAGTTACTGTAGATGACCGTTTTAGCTATTTTTACATATAATTTTTTCTTTATTTTATTAATAAAATATAGTTTAAATTTTTTTTTCTAAAATCAGCAGAATCAGCCAATACAGCCACTTCAGTTAGAACTTCGTAAATTTCAACAAAAACAGCAAAAACAGACGATTTTCATGCTAACAAACGGGCTCTTAACTTGTTTGATTAGCAAAGTTATGGTGAATGGAATTTAATTACTCCGTATTAAAACCACACGTAGCAAGACTTTAAGAGTGCCGACTTCTCTTACCGCTAGCAGGAAAAAACTTTGGGGTTGGGTTTTCCTGGTTCCCACTTCAATTCCCATTTGCTATGGTCACCCATTCGTTGACTTCTAGTCTCTGGAATTTTAGTGTATGGAGGATGAACCATTTTGGCTTCTCCCTATCCTGTTGTTTGGTCTATATATACCTTTCTGGTAACAATCCATTTCTAGTGTCCGAACCCACTTCTGATCCAAACCAAATTAAGCTAGCCAGCTTTTTAATTATGGCAAACAATCCAAGTATGCATCCCATTTTTACCGTCTCCCTTCCCTTCTTCATCTTCTTCCTCCTCACTTTCCGGGCTACCGGAGAAGAACAAATCTTCGGAAAGCAGATAGACCGGGAATCACTTGGACTGAAGATCGAAAAAGCCAGCCATTTCCGCTGGTATTGGCACGACGTCCTTAGCGGGACGAAGCCGACGTCGATCGAAATCATCCCGGCGGCTAATAGCTCGTCGTCGATGACCGGCTTCGGGGGGACAAACATAATCGACAATCCGCTTACGGTCGGGCCGGATCTGGGCTCCAAGTGCGTGGGAAGAGCGCAGGGGATTTATGCTTCGGCGGGTCAGGCAGATCTCGGGCTTTTGATGGTTATGAATCTGGCTTTCATTGAAGGCAAGTACAACGGCAGCACCCTCACGGTGGTTGGCCGGAACCCGGCGTTTCTTAAGGTGCGGGAGATGCCCATCGTCGGCGGCAGTGGGCTTTTCCGGTTCGCTCGCGGCTACGTTGAGGCCAGGACTCACTGGGTTAATATCACAAGTGGCGATGCCACCGTCCGATATGATGCTTACGTCTTGCATTATTGAGCATTTGAGCCTGCGGGGCTTTTGTTTTTGTGTTTTGACCTTCACTTAATTATTACTGTGTTTATTTCTTAAAATAAAATTATGTTGGTCGGAATTTTCTCCCTACTTTGTCAAGTTTGATTGGTATGGAAAATAATAAAGTAAAGGTTGTGTGATTGAATTTTGTGCGGAGAAAAGAGAAATTACATGAATCACAAATTTATTTATTTAAATGAAAAGTTATAAAAATTTTGAGATAACTTTAAAAAACAAGATGACAAGTTATAAGGTATGAAGGAAGTATAACTTTATCAAAATTTACGAGTAAGTGAATAATAAATAAAAATGGTTTGATTAAGGTTTTTGAGTGTCCATAAAAAAAAAAGGTTTGTGAGTGGGAGAAAAAGTTAACATGAACATAAATTATTTAGTAGAAATGGAATTGATTAAAATCTTAGATATATTTTCGTCATTTTATAAAATTATTCCCACTAACCATTTGTTTAACTATTTGATTGTAAAACAGTGTTTGGTTAAATGATTGTTTATAATCAGTTGGTAACTTAATAAATAACTTTTAAGATCATCAACTAATTTTATATTATACTACTTAAACATTTTTAATAATCTAAAAAAATAAAAAATGTATAGTAATAATAATTTTAAACATTATATGTCACGAGTTAATAAATTTGATCAACACGATGATACTTTGATTAATAATGAAGTTATAAGTAAAAATATACCAACAAAACTTGTGTAAAAATATGAAAAATAAATTTAAATATTAATGTCACCACAAACAAGGACATGAAATGTTTTTGGTTTATTTAACTATTCTAGTTTTCTAACATTTTACTTTTCAACGTAAAAGCAGTCATCTTCTAGGTGTTTCCTAGCCCGTTCTTTCGGCCGATAGTTATCCTGTCCGGCAATCTGTTTCGGCGGTCAAGCCGAATTCTTGGTTTAGACGAAGCTGGTGCTCGGCAATTGATGATTCTCGGTGATCAGGTCGAGTGATTCTTCTAGTGCTTTTCCGAATGAATATCTAAGTTGAATTGGAATTGTTGAGGGTTGGGTAATTCGGCAACCAACCAAGGGTTGTTGGATATTATCCAACAGCATCGGCCAACGATTCTATTCCTTATGGAGACCAAGTGAGCCAAATAAATTGTCCTATTATCGAGTTTATTCCCTATATAGGACCTAAATCATCCTATTTTCAGGGGCGGATCTATGCATGGGCTATGGTAGGCTGAAGTACACGAGAACTTAGTTTTTTTCAATTTTTTTGTCAAAATTTTTCCAGATTTCATATTAAGCCTATCTCGATAATGTTTAAGCCTTGTGTAATTGATCTTTAACCCAGGACATCACGATTGAATTCCTGGATCCGCCCCTGCCTATTATAGAAGGTCCTCGTGAACATCTATGGTATTTACTATATGTACCTATATAGGTCCTCGTGAATAAAACATAGAGCCTTAATTGTGTCATTATTATGAATAAAAGTTACTTTCAAAAAAAAAATGAATAAAAGTTGATTCTTTAAGAATTGTAAATTTGTAATCGTTTTAAAAACCACAATTGTCAATTGTGATGTAAAAATTAAATTTGCGATAAATGGTTCTAATTATATTTGGTTGAAAATATCTGAATACTTGAGTAACTTGACTATGACAACAATTCAACAAATTTGAATTCTATACTCTGTATATGATCACAATGCAGTTGACCAACTTTTCTTTCCCCCGGTCAATGATAATATGGCATCAGAATTTTGTACGGGAAACGCGAAAAAACGTGGTGTTCGGATTTCGGGATCACATTTGCAATGTCTCATACTACGGAGTATATATTACTAGTATCAAATACTCTCCTCCCCTAACTTGTCTTGTCAGTATTTTTGAATTTGTCTCACTGAGATTGTTTGGTGCAAATTTTCCTTTTTACGGAGTAATTTGTTTCATTAAGATTGTTCATGCCCAATTTAATAAAATATACGAAGTACTACGTATGTGTTTTAAATCATTATTACGTTTTTCCATCACTCGCAATAGAGCCAACGACTCATCATATTTTGGCCTAGGAATATGATAAAATAAAGCAATATGACTCACTAAACCGTTTATGCTCCTTTGTTACGAAACAACAGTCAATCATGCAATTTTCAATGTGATTTTCATTATGGATCATCCGAAAACAGTTTCTTTGTACTTTAGTGCAGGAGTAAGGTTGCATATATCCGACTCCCTTACCTCATCGTAGGTGAAAGTCTTTGCGGCACTAGGGTAATGATGATGATGGTGATATAAATTCACTTTTTTTAATCATTGTATTATTACCTCATGTCTCAATATTAGTGAGACAAAAGTATTGAAATTTAACACGAAGTGCTTTATCATTCATCAGATATTTAGATATTAAGATTACATTTGAGAATTCAAAACTACAACTTATTACTCTTATCTGTCATTTTTACCAGTACACGCAATTTTTTTATTTCACGGTTGAATTTCACAATAATCAAAATACAATTGAAGTTATTTTGTAGTTCAATTACCTGACTTTGTTTGAGAAGGGATATACTACATATTACTAGTAGTAATTTTCATATATTTTATTTATTATAGTAATAAAATACCCAGTTTATTTTAAATAAATTTTCCCAAAACTCAAGAAATTTAATCAATTCGGTAATTTTAATTAGAATTTTACAAAATTCAATTGATTCAAATCAATTTTAATGCTATAAAATGACATTGTGTGGAAGGGATGTAGCTTCTCAGCTGAAGGGATTAGGCGGACTGCTACAGCAACTTTGGCAAGCTGGAAATATGCCCAGTCAACTACAAACAAAGGGCTTATTCCGCAGGTGGGTAAAACAGTCGAACGTTGGAAGAGACCACAACAATCTTGGTTGAAATTAAATGTAGACGCTGCCAACAACGCTCAAACAAATAGTTGGGCCTGGGGATGGGTTCTTAGAGATCACAATGGACAGTTTGTTCAAGCTAGAGGCCGAAAAGTGAAAGCGGGGTGGTCACCGATCGAAGCATAAAGTTTGGGGGTCCGAGAAACAATTTTGTTGGTTAAGGAGAACAGGTGGCAAAATGTGGTTATCGAAACAGATGCTGCCCTTGTCCAGTCCGGGATTAAAGGAGAGAAGAATGATTCTCAAGTAGGGGTCGTTTTTGAAGACATTAAGGCCCTTTTGTGTGGAAATGAGAATATACTCATCAATTGGTGCAGAAGATCGGACAAAAGCGACTGTTTCTATGTCTGGTCTGGTAGTTAATTTCGATTATCCGCCCGATTGCATCGTAAGCCAGTTGGCGAACGACTTGTTGAATTAATTATCGGCTTTCATCCAAAAAAAAAGAAATGTTATAAAATATGCTTATAATATTGCATCGTTAAATTAACCTATGCAGTAGGGGTATTATTAACCTTAATTTGACTTTTAGTCTAGGGGCATTAGTCTATGTTGGGTGAACCGTTAGCTTTTGTGCTCTTCTATATGTATCTACTACATGTCTACATGCATAATCCAGTACATACTCCCTTCAAGCAGAATGGCAAAGAATCCGAATCTTCCCTTTTTTATCAACTCGCTTCCCTTCTTCTTCGTCTTCTTCCTGTTCACTTTTCCGGTCACCGGAGAAGAACAAATCTTCGGAAAACCGGTGGGCCGGAAATCTCTGGGATTCAAGAAGGAAAAGGCAAGTCATCTCCACTTCTTTTGGCACGACATTCTCAGCGGGCCCAAGCCAACCTCGATCATGGTCATCCCGCCGGCGAAAATCTCGTCGGCGAATTTCAGCTTCGGCCTGACAAACATCATCGACAACCCGCTGACCGTCGCGCCGGATCCGAAGTCCAAGTGCGTCGGAAGAGCGCAGGGGATCTATGCTTCGGCGTGCCAGGAGGAGCTTGGGTTCTTGATGGTGATGAACCTGGCTTTCATTGAGGGCAAGTACAACGGCAGCACCCTCACCGTGCTCGGCCGGAACCCGGCGTTACAGAAGGTCCGGGAGATGTCCATCGTCGGCGGCAGTGGGCTTTTCCGGTTTGCTCGCGGCTACGTTCTGGCGAAGACTCAAATGGTTGATTTGAAGACCGGCGACGCCACCGTCGAATATGATGCTTATGTCTTGCACTATTGAGCCTGCTATTGGTTGTAGTGCGTCGAATAATTATGTCAACTTTTTTTCTATTGTATCAAGCCGCTTTCCTATTAAAGTACGAAATAATTTAATTCCGGGAAAGTTTCACAAATAGGAATAAAACAGTTTGAAAATTTCAAATTAGGACTGTCATGTTTTTTATTCCCAAAATAGGAGTAATTACTGCTAAGTTTGGAAAATACTGCCATATTTGAAGTTTGGTACTGCCAAAACATGACAGTAATTAGTCCTATTTTAGAAATAAAAACTGCCAGTCCTATTTTGGAATTACCAAACTTTTTTAGTCTTATTTTGGGTAAATTCTCTTTAATTCTCTCTGTTTTTTGGCAATTCTTAGTGACACAATTTTAATTTTTCTTTGTTTCTTATTTAATTCAGTATTAATTACGAAGTAATAAAATATATAAGTGGGTCAGTACAAAGTAGTACTCTCTCTCTGTCCCATTTTACCTGTCTTACTTCCCTTTTTTGGTTATCCCAAAATAAGTATCGCATTTTCTTGTTTGGAAAGAAATATGTGATCTACACCATTTTACTTTATTATACTCAAATCTCAACCACAATTTTTACTTTTTCAACGACTTTATTAATAATCATGTCAAGTCAAAGTATAACATATAAAATGAGACAGATGTAATAAAACGAGACATGTAGTATTTGGTAATAATCATAGACTGAGAAAGTTGTGGTCTTATTGTTAGTGGAGTTGTTTAATCATGATGCATGGAATTTCTACCAATAAAGCAATATTGTGGACCATTTGGCTATTAGGTAACCATGAATTTTGACCTTTTGTTATGGTCGAGTGTGTGTCTTTATTTGACTATTTTAGCTTTTGTTTACACCTAACCTTAGACTAACCGCAACTCAGCCCGTCAATAAATCTAATTCCCCTCCAGTTTATACGTATTCACTCCGTTAATCCAATTTTTTCTGTAACCCAGCACCGTCAATATATCCACTTATCACCATCTTTTTTTATTAAATGCATAAATCCTTACTTATTGTAGTATACATCATTTATGTGGTAATTTTAGTTTTACCAATAATTATTATTTAAAAACTCAAACATTCCGATGCAAAAAAAATACAAAAATGTGTATTTTTTTGTTTGCAAGTATTAAAAATGCCCACTTGAGTTCAATTTCAAATAAATTTAAAACTAAAAATTTATATTATTAATTTTAATTTTATATAGTAGGGAGTATGTACTTGTTGGGATTGAATTTAAATGAATTGAAGCATACTTCTTGTAAATTAAGTTTCTTCAATCAATCTGCAATATATAATACAAGTATGTTGTTGTGCAGTTTCCACGTGCCAATTTAAAACTTATGTTGCTTTCAATTGAGTTTTTTCAATTTATATCAACGGAAGCCTTTTTCACCCGCAAGCCAAGCCGCGAACGACCACGCAGCAATGCTCACCACTCCTTTACTCCCCAGGTCTCAATCGCGTCGCATGGATGGGGCCCCAGCTGCTTTCCCCACTTCGCATGTCACCTCCTGGCCAGAGTCGATTGCCCGCCTAGAAGTCGCTCCCCTAGGTTCCCCAGATCCCCTGTGAGTAGGGCTGAGCAAAACCCGATCCGACCCGAAAAACCCGATATTTTTTCGGATATTAACCGAATCGAAGTGGATATCCGACCCGAAAAACCCGAAACCGAAAATCCGATTAGTATTGTGCCTAGACCGGGTGGCGGGTAGGGTTTGTGAAATCCCAACCCGACCCGCCCGAATATCCGAAATATATGTTAGTGTGTACTTTGAATATTTAAATTAATACTTGTGTTCAATTATTTGTGTAATTATTTGTGCAATTTGTATTAAATTATTTGTGTAGTGAACTAGTGTGTACAACTTTTGTTAAAGTGGCATTCCAACACTTTAACTATCCAATTATAATGTGTTTTGATATAGGGTTTTTTACATGAATATTACTAAAATCAAACTCATTTACATGAATTACTATGATTTCATTACTACTGTAGTAACTAGTCATATTTTTGTAAACCATCTTTATTTTAGTCATATTTATATAATTATTTCTTTGATATAACCAAAATATCCGAAATATATTAAATTATGTAGTGTGTACTTTGAATATGTTAAATTAATACTTGTGTTCAATTATTTGTGTAATTATTTGTGCAATTTGTGTTAAATTATTTGTGTAATTTGGAAGTTTAGTGCACTAGTGTGTACAATGTTTGTCAAAGTGGCATTTAAACACTTTAATTATCCAATTATAATTTTTTTTAAATATAACCGAAATATCCGAAACCCGACCTGATATCCGATAATATCCGACTTAAAAATATCCGAAATACCCGATTTGAAATATCAAAGGGTCGGGCCTAGTATTTAAATTAAAAAATCCGAACGGGTTTAGGGTTCACAAACCCGACCCGCCCGAACCCGACCCGTGCACACCCCTACCTGAGAGACCTTCGTATACAATATTTACTCTGGGTTGCAGCTGTTTTGGGAGTGAAAACCTCACATTTAGGATTTTCACTCCCCCCATTGCAATCAGCCTTACAAGATTCAAGATTGTATTCACCTGTTTTTAAATATGTACTATTTGATCATTAGGATAGTTATATTTCATGTGAAGTGTTGCATAAAAAATTAGGAGAGATTTATCTAATAAGAACTAAAATATATTGAAAAGTTCCATTGTACTATAGGGTTGTCACTTTTTGGTACAATAGGATACTATAGGAATGTCAATTTGTCATCAACCTCCTCCTTCCCCTCCCCTGTTTTCTTTCTTCCAGGATTCATGTTGATAGAGTATATGGGCCTGGACCCCATGGCCCACATACTCAAGTCAACGATGACCAGAAGAACACCCACGTGGCCCCCTTCGGCCAGTAGGTCCGCATCAGCCAGAAACCAAACCGGGCCAGGAAGCACGCATGGACTCCCGGGACCGCATCGGCCCATGGACCGCATCGGCCATGAGACCGCATCGGCCAAAAGGCACCGCATCGGCCCGACTCCGTCCGGGCAAAATGCATCTCTCTACTTTATTTACTAAGTATTGTACACAGCCCATTAGTGGCCCTATTTCGCCCAAAGAAGGCATAATTATTGTAATGGGCCTCCTAAGCCCATGGCTAGGAGCCCAAATCCACATTTTTACCTATAAATAGACCCCTTGGGGCTAGTTATAGGGGGTTGAGAAATATAATTACTCACTTTCTCTCTCTAGCTCTCACTTCTCTCTAGAATTAATACCCTATCATTTGGTGCTCTCGTTGAGAGTTTAGAACAGATCAAGTGAGTACCCCTCGTCGCTACTAGACGCAACAGAATGACAAGAACTAGGTCAAAGAACACCGGTAGGAACGCCCCTCTGAACCAGGAAGGGCAGGGAAACGTTGCTGACAACGTCCCCAATGACCTCATCATCCAGGATGAGAATGCTCAGGAGGTCGAGCACGCAACGGCTGACCTTCGCACCCAGCTCAACAGGACTGCTCCGGATGCTCGCATCGGACTCGAAGACAGACGCAATGCTGATCGCACTTCGGGCCAGCAGGCCTCTCACCCTGCTGCTCCCCAGATCAACCCGACCGCATTATCGGCCATTGTTGCAAGCATCCTCCAGGACCCCAACGTCGTCAGCGCTCTTGTCGCAAAGACCGGGGAAAACAACACTCCCGTAACGGGGGAGGTCGCGACGGTGCCACCGCCGCCACCTCGTCCGCAAGGCGTCACCTTCTTCGGCGACAACGAGGACGTCCTCGCCGTGGACACCCATTCCCATACTGCCTCGCCTACCCGGGATACACCGGCCCAACCTCACGGTAAAATCTCAGCCTTCAACAGGCTGGGTGACATCGCGAGCCGTCGGGTACCTACGGGAAGGGTGGCGGATCGGTTGGGTGGCCGCGAGCCAGGATCACCAAAGGAAAGCTTCGGGTCCGTCTCTCGGACAACAGATCGGCCCCGACCAGATAAGGGAAAGGGAAAGCTGAATGAGGACGATGCGCGTCACCAAATTAAGCTGGCCCACGCGGCCCGAATCCAGACCCCGCTGGGTGGCGCTGCGGCCAACACGGACCCAAGGGACGAGATCATCGCCCGCCTGGAGAAGCGCCTCGCTGATATGGAAGCCTGGGAGGCCGCAGAGCGCGCAGCGGCCCATACATCCCAACATCCCAACTACGACGCGCTCCTGCACAAGGTCAGTGCTCTGGAAAGGGAGTTGGCTGACCGGCGCGACGATCCCGTCATCCAGATACAGACCAGGACTCCTTCTCTGCGAGGGTGCTCTCCACTCCCATCCCAGAGAAATACAAGGGGAACCCAATCAAGCCATATGACGGCCGCACTGATCCCCAGGAGCACTTCACCCGCTATCAGAACAATATGATGATGACAAACGCTTCGGAAGAATACATGTGTCGCTGGTTCCTCTCCACCTTGGAAGGACCAGCGTACGATTGGTTCAACAACCTTCCGGAGGGGAGCATCGACTCATGGCAGGACCTTGCTCAACGCTTCCTCACCCACTTTGCTGGGAGGAAACGTGCGAAGAAGCATTTCGCTCATCTCCTGACCATCAAACAACAATCGGAGGAGACGCTCCGAGCCTTCCTCGATCGCTGGACGAGGGAGGCGGACGAATGCGAGGGAGCCGATGAACGCACCCTCCTGGCCTTCCTCCGCGGAGCACTCCTGCCGAGCCACTTCGCCCGGAGTCTGTTCACAGAGCCCCCACGGTCATACCTCGCGGCGCTCCGACGCGGAGACAGGCACGCTGACGCCGACGAGCTCCTGAACCAGAAGAAGGGTGGGGAGAAGCAACAGAAGAAGGACCCCTCGTCCAACCCCCACCATGCGCCAGCCAACAAGGGACAGAACCAGCAGAAGAAGGCACACCAGGAGCCCGGCGGACAGCGAAGAGAGGATCGTTCATGGCGTCCAAAGTTGGAGGCGCAACGCATCCCCCTCACCCACCCGGTGAGCGTCGTCCTTGACCACGCTGAGGCACAGGGCCTCATTGTGAAGGACCCCAGGTCAGAGGAGGAGATATTTGCGGTCCACAAAGGAGGGACATATTGCAAGTACCACCGCCAGACTTCCCACAAGACCGAGGATTGCACCACCCTGAAGAGGCACATCGACGGCCTCGTCCGACAGGGGGAACTTTCCCAATTTGTCAAGGGTGCCCCCAAGAGTAACACTTGGGTTAACCCTGGAAAAAGAGGGGAAGGATCCTCCAGGAAAAAGAGGGAGATCGGTGCCCTCAGTGAAGATGAGGACGAAGAGCTCCGCCAGAAGAAGCATCACATTCACATCATCGTCGGCGGGAACACAGGGGGGGACTCGGCTACCCAACGGAAAAAATGGGCTCAGTCCCTATACGTTGGTGAGGTGTCCCACGCCCCCCCCCCCCCCTCAGCCGAAGCAACGGCACGTGGAGGCC